CTGTGTTCCTGTGGGCAAGGTACCAGCACCTGCAAGACCATGCTGTACCACTTGCCCAGCCCTGTCCCAACCCTTTCAAAGCCTTCTGTGTCGTCTTCGATGACTGTACTACTAAGCTTTGACTCAAGAAGTCTCAGGTGAAAAAAATGTTCACTGAAGCCTTGAGACAGACACTTTAGAACCGCTCTCAGGCAAGCCTGGACTTCATCTCATCCTGAATCACCACCCTTCCACGCAGAATTTACCCATGAATCTGCTTGAGATCCTACCACTAGGTGTCCAGCAATTCTTGCAGAAGGCACTACTGATGCTAGCGCAGACCTCGCAGACTCCAGAACTTCTCCTAGACTGCTTGCCATGCTTTCCCAACTCATTGGAAGAAGAAGAAGAAGAAGCAGCTGCGGCGGCGGTGGTGGTGGTGGTGGTAGCGGGAGACCGTGGTTGAGCTTTCTGCTACTGTTTCTTCTTCTGCTGCTATTACTGCTGCTGCTATTTCTCCTGGAAAATTCCTTGGTCCTCCCTGAACCCCTCAATTCCAGAATGCCAGCCCCTCGCACCTGTACACTCGTGCCAGCACGCCATCCTAGCAGCGAGCATATTCGATACAAGGATACATGTGAAAAGATCGGGCTTAAGGGCTTCGATGCAGTGTCTAGCGTTTTCCTTGTTAGCCTGAGATTGGAGGCCAAGAAAAGCTGTCCACGATTTTTGCCTCAGACTTATTTCCTTGAAGGGGCCCCTTCCTGTTCTGAACCCTGTATTAAGCTTATGCTTTTGATTTACTTAGAGGGCCCTTCAAAAAACTCAGATCTTTCAGTAAATAAGTGCCATTGATGCAGCATTCTCACGAGTCATGATTGGTCAGGAGTGAGGAGCTACTCAACAGCAAGTAACATGCAACAGTCTCATGTTGGAATACCAATTTGTACGCAGCGGCGTATAGCTGTATGGCACATCCAAAGCTACAACGTCCAATTGATTGTCAGTTTGGGAATGTCAGGAAGTTGAACATGGAGGCAGAAAAACACAAAAAGAGCCCCTGGTATATCCTCAACAGATAGAAATGTCTCAATGCAACCTCATCGAAAGTCCCTTGCAACCCGTGGGAACGCGCCCTACACCCCCGCCCCTCCCCCATACAAATGAAAATGAAAAACACATGGAGGGCCTGCAGAAATCCTACTTGACTTCAAAATGACAACCACAAACAAGTGGACATTGCTTGTGTATCTAAGTTTAGGGTTTAGGGTCTAGGGCTGCCAGTGAGATAAAGAGCCAGTTTAAGTGAGAGAGTATCTGGAGCGCCATGCGTGGTTCTAAGTGGGGGGTTCTTCGTACTGGACGCTAGCCTCTCACTCTACTTATCCTGCCTAGATCCCTGGTTGTGGGCTCAGGGTTCCAGATTTACCTGGAGTAACCTACGTAACCACAAGAAGGGCTTTGCACTGATGCGTTGTCATCTTTAGCTGCCAACACAGGTCTAGGCTACGTTTGCCAGGTTGCGGGATGCGTATTGGACATGTGAACAAAGCTGTGTGAGATGATGTGCCGAACCCTTGATGCTCATGCTGCTACGCACTCAGTAATCAAAGACAACCAAAGCAGGACATGTCAGGACGCTACGCACTCAGTAACTCAGGACAACCCAGGCAGGAAATATCATCAGGCACGCGATCAGTGTTTCAAACCGACCCCATTTTCCGACCCGCTCATTTCCCCTTGTTACTGTTTTCCCGGCTTCGCCCTCCGATGAAATCTGGGTCCGGGCGGACACGCGTACAGATTAAGGAGGCGTGTGGTGGGCCAAACCT